TTCTGGTCCTAATAAGCTTCACTATGGGCTCACAGCCACAATTTAACATACACACAATAAAATATTTTGTGGTGCGTATAAGAGTACAGCAGGTAGTCATTTGCCTTGCATGAGGCTGACAGGGGTTGATCCTTGAGCATTGCCAACAGCAACTTATGAGAAACACCAGGAATAACTGTTGGTCATCCCCAGTCCCAAAAACAAAAGAAAATTCAATTTCTTCCTATATTCAAAAAAACATGGCAATGATTCAAAGGCAAAGATAAGCAGATAAGCATGGTGTCATATTGACAGAGAGGGGTCCAGAAAGGGTACCCGGCCCTGTAGGTGTACAGTGAGGCTGGTTTTTCAGCTGGGGGGGGACAAGGGTCTTGAAACTCATGACTATTCGGCATACCTGACAGACGAGGAAGAATGACAACAAAGTCAAGAAAGCAAAGGACAGGATCTCTCCGTAACGAACAGCCCGGGGAATGAAGGGCAGCGTGAGTGCAGTACAGACGCCTGATCCAGTGGCCCGAGGACACAGTAGCATGTTTCACACACTCAGGGCACGCACACACTGCCCAGGGACCCAGCCAGGAAGGGTCCTCAGACACTCACCTGTACACACCTCACCTCCCCGGCTTTAGGGCTCCTCTTCCAGCCTAGAGATTAACGCAAGCTTCACCCCAGAAGGCCCTGCTCCACAGAGACAGAGGACTGAATTAGTCACAAGGAAGGAAAAGGCGACAAGTAAACCTCGTGTGTCCCTGGTCTAACTGGTCACACTATTGAAAAGGCATGATCATAACGTCCACTTTCAATATGCCAACGATTGGTGGGGAGTGAGGAATAAGACAAGGTTTAAACTTAAGAGTAAAATAAGGGAGTACCAGATAATATCACTAAGCTACCAGCACTGTATGCAGTTTTGTTTTGGGTTACAGTTGGCGATGCTAAGGGTTAATTCTGTATCCGTGCTCAGGAATCATCTCTGGTAGTATTGGCTCCATGGAAGGTCAGTGATTGAACTTGATTTGCTTTACGTAAGGAAGCGCCCTCCCCACAGTGCTTTTGGAACATCTGTAATTACCTGAATTTCTCTTTTACCTTTACTTTGAGCTTACAATTCCCCAAGTGAGGTTTGATGACTTAGGTGAATCTGAACTTTGTATTTGAAGTGAATACTTCCTATTCTATATTCCCATTAGCCCTTTTATACTCTACTATAGAGCAATGTTCTTTGCTTAACCACAGATAGACTATTAATGATAGGCTCCTAATATTTGGCCCATATCCTGAAATACATCTACTCCTGGCACCTGTCATATTTACTTGATTCAAGCTTCAGTTGCCATACTTCCTAACACTCCAAAAAGGAAGGCCCCCATAGGGCTGAGATGGATCTGGGGAAAATAGCAAAACTACCCCGGAATCGAAATGGAATAGTCTAGAAAGCATGAAAGAACAGTCCTGATATTAGCTGTTATGACTTAAGAGACAGGACCTCATGAAGGACAAGCTGTACCGGCCTGAAGACCTAGTATGGGATTTATGGTAGAAGCCCAGCAACCTTGCCCTCAGAGTCCAGAGAACTAAATTTTGGAATCTATATTTCTTACTATTTTTATCCACATATCTGCAATTATTAATAAGAAGTAAATTTAATTGTTTAATATTTTCTAGTAGATGAAGAGGAAAGCAATATAATGCTGTTGACCCTGGGAGAATCTCTCTGTATAGCCACTGGGAGACAGTGTATCCTTGAATTCTCCAGAATTGTCTCCATCAAAACCCTTTACCTCTGTAGGGGCTGGAGCCATAGCACAGCAGGAAGGGCATTTGCCTTGCACGCAGATGATGAGGGTTCTTTTCCCAGCATCCCATATGGTCCCTCGATCACATCCAGGAGTAAATTCCTTAGTGCAGAGCAAGGAGTTACCCCTGTTAATGGCCAGGCGTGACCCAAAAAGCAAAAACAAACAAAAATGCTTTACCTCTGTAAACGATCAGTCACCCCTATGTGTAGTCCTATAGCTCAACAACCTTCAATGCTCTGTATTATGCTAAAAGCTTCACATTAAACAAGCCATTCTGACCATCAGTCAGTGGTTCTCCATATCTTTGTTCCTCTTCTGACTCCAGCATAATGTCCCTTTAGAGATTCCTCTGAGAGGCAATCAGGTATGTTCATCCTTCTGGGGTGAAACTCACTGCCATGTTGACAGAGGTAACCACATTTCGAACCAGCACACACTAGGATAGGAGGAGGCTATCCCAATCCACACAATGGGCCTGAGGATGAGACACTGCAGCACCCTAGGGGTTCTCAGGGATCTCCCTTCTCCCCACTCCAGAAGGGAGGAACCAGCCTCCACCAACACTTTAGGGTGACGGGCCCCAGTAGTCACTGGATGGAATCCTGATATACCACAATGGAACTATATTAGAAGCTGATGGACTTGCACGCAGTCATCCCAGAGACAAACCCAATGAACAATGCTCCTGTAAGTAACACCTAAGCACTGACCCAGCAGGACCAAAAGAAAGCAACACTGGGTTGGACCAAAACTCTAGACACTCCTCCCCCATGCCATATCATCACATCAACTGTTCTAGGGGTGAGAAGGGGACACTCAATGTCCAGTGAGCAACTCAAAGGTGTTGTGGACTGGAGGACTCCTGGGTTGGCCACATGCAAGCAAGTACCCTACTTGCTGTACTATTGCTCTGGCCATTTCTAAATAATTTTTTTCCCAGCACACCAGCAGTGACCCCTGAGCAAAACTCCCCTTCCCCATACTGAAATATCTCCCTTTCAGGAAAAGATAAAACAACAAGTATACTGATGTAGCCACCCCCAAGAGCCAGTTTTCCTGATGTTCTGGTCAGGGAGAGATGAAGAGAAAGGGATTGTTTGCAATTGGACATGTGGAAGTAGAAAAAATTACTTGCAGTATTGTTGTTTATTCGGCTATTGATTAGGCTGACTGAAATGGGCATCAACTCCACCGTACTTTCCCCCTTTTTTTTGATAATTTTATTTTTTGAATCGCCCTGAGTGAAGTTACAAAGCTTTTGGGTTTAAGTCTCATTCATACAATGAAGCACCAGTCCCTTTACTGTGCCAATTTTCCGCCACCAAAACCCCAAGTATACCCCCATTCTACACCCTCCCCCTAACTGTTGGGGCAGATGATTTCTACATTTCTCTCTACTTTGATTACACTCAATATTTTGACACCAGACCCACCATTATTATATTTGGGATTTAACCCCAGCACTCAGATAGTTCAAAAAGGCAACAGTAGACAATTTGTTTTCTACTGCTGGTTATAACAACATGATTTTGTAATTTTGAAATTTTAATAATATGGAGGGATTTCTCCCAATACCTGCTGAGTTCCAGATTTTCTCCTGACTCTCTGGGATCATGGCCATTAAGCAGCTTTATCAGGAGCCAGAGAGGCGGTTCGTGGGCATGATCTAAGCTATTGTTGGGTCGTGGAGGAAAGGGCCACCTCCACCCCCATCCCCCCATCTTGTGAAGCTCCACATATCTCATCACTGCGGGCCCAAATGTGACTTTCCAATGGCCTCTGGAGGATGGTGGCCAGCGAGCCGCCAAGGGGGAGCAGGTGGAGGGACAGCACCACTTCCCTCTGGGGTGGCCCGGGGTTAGTAACCTACTGCAGGGTCCAGACTCATTTCTGCCAAGAGCCGCTGGGTTTTGAGATTTGTCTCTGAATCTTTGGGATCATAGTCATTAAGCAGCAGTGATATCAGAGCAGGTAGGATGTTTGCCTTGCACGCGAAAAACCCGGGTTCGAATTCTGACAACAATATGTTCGCCTGAGCACTGCCAGGAGTAATTCCTGAGTGCATAAGTCAGGAGTAACCCCATGTGCATCGCTGGTTGTAACTCAAAAAGCAGAAAACAAAATAAATAAATCATACAAACAGTAAATTTTCAGAGGCAAAACCCTCTCACTTGTGCAGACACACCCCAAAGTCCCAACCCCAGCACAGGAGCCAATAAAAATGGCCACAACAGTGTCCCTTTCCTTTCGGGGCTTCCCGTGAACATATCTGGAGGTTTGATAAGTGTTATCTCCAGTCCAAAGGCTCCAAAAAGGGCCCTGCGCAGTCCCGAGTAGGGAGGTATGAGATGGCCAAGACCACCACTCTCTGCAGGTCCCTCACACCAAGGCCCAAAGTTCATGTGGCATCTTCGACCTGGATGTGATCTTGACTGCAGGGACCCTCAGCATAACGCACCCTCACCCATGACACCTCCACCACAGAACAGCCCCCAATGCAACCCTCAGAAGCTCCACATTCCCTAATACCTAGATATGCAGAAAAAGTTTTGAAAAAAACAAGCACAAAAACGCCCTACAAGCTGGCATGTCCTGCCGCTCAAGTTCCCAAACAAGGAGCTGCAGGGTGCTCAAGCAGTGTTTCTCCAGCGTGAATGTGCCTGTGTTCAATAAGTCTGAGGCTCCAGCAAAGGCCTTTCCACATTCCTTACATATATATGGTTTCTATCCAATGTGAATTCTACTATATACATTAATTATTGAGGTCACAGCAAAGGCCTTCCCACATTCCTTATATATAAAGTTTCTCTCCAGTGTGAATTCTCCTATGTACAGTCAATTGCGAGGATGTAGTAAAGGTGTTTCCACACTCCACACATATATAAGGCTTCTCTCAAGTATGAATTCTCATGTGTATAGTAAGGGAAGAGGACAACGTGAATGCCATTCCACATATCTGACACTGATGAGATTTCTCTCCACTGTGAATTCTGGTATGATTCCGAAGGTACTGAGATTGACCGAAGGCCTTCCCACATTCTTTGCAGATATAGGGTTTCTCTCCAGTGTGAATTCTCCTATGTTCACTAAGTCTTGAGGCTTTAGCAAAGGCCTTCCCACATTCCGTACATATATACGGTTTCTCTCCAGTGTGAATTCTCCTATGTACAGTAAGTTTTGAGGCTGCAGCAAAGGCCTTTCCACATCCCTTACATATATATGGTTTCTCTCCAGTGTGAATTTTCCTATGTACAGTAAGTCTTGAGGCTGCAGCAAAGGCCTTCCCACATTCTTTGCAGATATAGGGTTTCTCTCCAGTGTGAATTCTCCTATGTACAGTAAGTCTTGAGGCTGCAGCAAAGGCCTTCCCACATTCCTTACATATATACGGTTTCTCTCCAGTGTGAATTCTCCTATGTACAGTAAGTCTTGAGGCTTTAGCAAAGGCCTTTCCACATTCCTTACATATATAGGGTTTCTCTCCAGTGTGAATTCTCCTATGTTCACTAAGTCTTGAGGCTATAGCAAAGGCCTTCCCACATTCCTTACATATATACGGTTTCTCTCCAGTGTGAATTCTCCTATGGACACGAAGGCTTGAGGCTGCAGCAAAGGCCTTTCCACATTCATTACATATATATGGTTTCTCTCCAGTGTGAATTTTTCTATGTACAGTAAGTTCTGAGGATGTAGCAAAGGCCTTCCCACATTCCTTACATATATACGGTTTCTCTCCAGTGTGAATTCTCCTATGTACAGTAAGTCTTGAGGCTGCAGCAAAGGCCTTCCCACATTCCTTACATATATACGGTTTCTCTCCAGTGTGAATTCTCCTATGTACAGTAAGTTCTGAGGATGTAGTAAAGGCCTTCCCACATTCCTTACATATAAACGGTTTCTCTCCAGTGTGAATTCTCCTATGTACAGTAAGTCTTGAGGCTGCAGGAAAGGCCTTTCCACATTCCTTACATATATAGGGTTTCTCTCCAGTGTGAATTCTCCTATGTTCACTAAGTCTTGAGGCTTTAGCAAAGGCCTTTCCACACTCCTGACATATATAAGTCTTCTTTCCACTATGAGTATTCTTATGTCTATAAAGAGACGAGGTGTGAATAAAGGCCTTCCCACAGGTCTGACATTTATGAGGTTTCTCTCCACTATGAATATTCATATGTCTATTAAGATCTGAGGGCCGATTAAAGGCCTTCCCACATGTCTGACATATATAAGGCTTCTCTCCACTATGCGTTTTCATATGTCTATTAAGATCTGAGGGCTGAATAAAGGCCTTCCCACATGTCTGACATTTATGAGATTTCTCTCCTGTATGAATTCTCCTATGTCTAAAAAGATGTGATGATTTATTGAAGGTCTTCCCACATGCTTCACACGCATAAGGTTTCACTCCTGAATTTATATTCATATGGTCATGATGGAGTAACCCTTGACTCACGCTTTGTTCTCGGTGCTCACTTTTCCAGGGATGCTGTCCACTGTAGTTTTCTAAGGGAATTCCACAGTGCTGAGAACATGGGGAGGCTCCGCCACATTCCTTACACTTAGATGGGTTCTGTTCACAGTGACTGTGATTGAGAGTTTGTCGCTGTGAGGGACTCACTATAAACAGTGCTTCTTTCCCTAGTGGCATCCAGACTAGGGGATTTTGTGACTTTGAACTGAGAACACCACACTCCAAGGAACTTTTTCCAAGGGAGGGCTTCTTCAGAGTGAGGTAGCTCTCGCCATTCTGATCACCCTCAGAAGACATCCCACACATCTTGGCATCCTCATGGGGTTGAATGCAGGATTGCTCACTAGAGATATTGTCATAGAGTGCAGAATCAGAGATATCCCACTTGGGTTGGTTGCTTCCCTGTAGGAAGAGCAGAGAAGGATTCCAATTATTAACTTATTCACCGAGTCTTCCTGTCAAAAAACTGAGCCTTCAGATGTGGTTTCTTTTTGGGGGGGGTCACACCTGGTGATGCACAGGGGTTACTCCTGGCTCTGCACTAAGGAGTTACTCCTGGCAGTGCTCAGGGGACCATATGGGATGCAGGAAATCAAACCCGGGTTGGCCGCGTGCAAGGCAAATGCCCTGCCCGCTGTGCTATTGCTCCAGCCCCAGGTGAGGTTTCTAACATATGCACCACACAAATGTAATTACCTACGTAAGGATTGTCTTATTATAGAATAACTTCGTGTAAATGTAAGTTCGACGCACAAAATTGATGGAAGCAGATTCATAAAATTCTGTGACTTCTCCCCACCTTTAACTTAATGAAGGAATATAACTGGGAATAATTCCTTCTATAGAAAACTGATGCATCCATTTCAAGAGAAAATGAAATACAACCACAGTGGGTTTGATTAAAGCTCAGAGTGGAACCTGTGATGAAAGGGTGAAGATAACGCTGCATCCTCACACAGCTGAGACAGACCACGTGGCTATTGCAAAGCTCTCACCACAAGTGATTGCTTTCAGGATCAACAAAGTTTTTTGTTCTTAATGTTTTGTAGTTTCTATTTATTGGGGGTTGGGTGGGCAGAGGGGCACACCATGCAGTATCTAGGATCAGTTCTGTGTGTCTACGGTGTCTATAAGGAGTGCTGGGTAAGGATCATCCATCCCTGTGCAAAGCAAGTATATTTCTCACTGCATTATCTCCAGGGCCCACAAATTAGTTTTTTAAATGACTATAACTGTCAAGCAAATGAAAACTCACAGCATTTTTATACATGGTTGATTTCAGCACCTAGTAAAGCTAAGGGTCCTCTACCCCAATCATCAGGCTTTGGAATTCCTCCCTGCCATTCACAGCCCTCCACCCTAACAATCACATATTTGGTCCACTCCCCCTGGCATAATAATTTATTCCGAATTAAAAATCTTACCAACTCACTCGTACTTGCAGACCCCATACCCAAATCAAAGTGCTGTAATGCCAAATCTTGAATCTGTGGTTTCAGCTCTGAAACTGAACACAACATGCAGTTAAAGCAATTGTCAAAAATGTAACAAAATGATGCCATGTAGTTGGAGTACATCTCTGTGGTATTCAAAGTCCATAAAATCCTACACTAAAGAAAAGATTAGGTTAGTGGAAAACGGTAAGGATCTTTGCAATTCAACACTAGGTTTTGTTTTAGTTTTTGAGCAGACCTGGTGATGTTCGGGGAACCAGGTTATTGAACAGGTCACTTTCAGGCACTGCAAGGCACTCCCTGCTGTACTATCGTTCAGATCCAAACTAGCTCTGTTATGGTCTTACTTAATCGAAAGCCATGGAAGCAACTTACAGAGTCATTCTGGACAGACATACGATGGGAATGAAGAGGAGTGTGAGTGTGGCACAGACCCATGGATCCAGGAGTCCAAGGCCCCAGCCTCAGCAGCGTGTTTCATACATGCTCAGGGCACCCATACACTGCACAGGGCCTGAGCCAGGAAGGGTCCTCAGACACTCACCTAAACACAAGTCTCTCCTCCCTGACCTCAGGGCTCCTCCTTCCAGCCAGGAGATCACCGCAGGCTTCATCCCAGTGTGCCCTGCCACAACAGAGACAGAGGCATGGATAAGTGACAAGGAAAAGGTGACAGGTAAATCCCAGTGTTTCCTGATATAAAGGCATGAACACAATGTCCATTTCCAAATTGCCACATATTTCTAGTTATTCGAGAGGTAAGACCCAAGAAAATACCACAAATACAATAGACCAGCCCTTGTGTATGGCCGACAGGGTGTTGATCAGCACAGTATGTTGTTGGTTTTTGTCTTGTTTGGGGTCTAACCTGGCAATGCTCAAGGACGACTCCTGACTCTGTATTCTGAAATCAGCACTGCTGGTGCTTGGGGATGACATGGGATGCCGGGGATTTAACCCAGGTGCATTGCTTGCAAGAAAATCACTTTCCTAACCATACTGTCTGTCTAGGCCTAACACCACATGGAGTTTCCTGAGCCCCTCATGAACTCATCAAGAATTTCAGTAAAACTAAGTGCTTAATAAATCTGGAAATGGCCAAAGGTGGCAAGAGACCCTTATTTTGTTAATCTAAAAATGTATCCAGAAAGAGAGCACAGCAGGAGTTTCTCACAGCCAATCCAGTTGCAATACCCGACATCCCCTAGGGTCCGTCACGCCAGCCAGGAGTGATCCCTGAGTTCAGAGACCAGGAGAAAAGCCTGAGTCCTGCTGAAGTCTCACAAGAACCATTCGAAGTATCTCCAAGCACTGAAATACGGCAGTGTCAGATGAGTTGAGAGAAGATATATCAAAGCCCCAGTGGTGGGAGAGATAGTACAGCACATAGGACAGAAGTGCTGCACACACATGTGGGTTTGATCACAGGCAGCCCATAAGGTCTTGGAGCAAGGTCAGGTGTGGATCCTGAATACACAGGCAGGAATAATCCCTAATCACAATCACAACCATCCTGTTATTCGTCGATTGCCTCAAGCAGGCCCCAGTAACGTCTCCTTCGTCCTAGCCCTCAGATTTAAAAAACAAGTCCCATATTCAAGGCTCTTTCAGAATTAGGAGAATGAGACCCTTCATTATTATTAGTATTTGGCATATTGGGTACTCCACGGGGAGTTTGCCAGACCCTGACATGTGGGCAGGTTACATTCGGTAGCCTGCCAGTTTGTCCAAAGTAGGAATGAGAAGATAAGATGTCGTAAAGGGTGTGATAATCTCTGGATCCTGGCCCTTACGTTATTATTATTATTACATAATAATAATTATTATTACTATTATTATAATTACTATAATAATTACTATAATAATTATTATTATTACTATTATGTGAATGTAATAATGAAAAGAATCAGGCCGTAATCCTGATTCTTTTTTCCTAATACCTAAGGAAAAAAGAGAAAGTAAAATCCGTCTGATTTGAGTGCCTGGTGCAAAAATATTGGGAGTCATGCACCAATGTTTTAAATTGCCAAGAGGTTTCAGTCCATGGTATCCCGGTTTCTGTGCACTCTTAGGAGTCATCGTTTAGCACAGAGCCAGGAGAACTGTGGACTGTGCTCCCTAAACAAAGGCAACAGAAAAGCCAATTAAACACACGGAAGTTTGTGTAGTACACAAAGTCAATTGATTCACCAATGGATGAAACTATTTAAAGGGACCTGAGTGATAACTGGGCAGATAGGGATCTTCCCACGGACACAGTCGAAACGGGTTGATCTGAATCACCCCACAGGGTCCTGCTACTCCACAAGACTGATTCCTAAGGACAGAGCTGAGAGTAAGCCCTGAGTATCCACAGGTGAACCCTAAAAAAACAGGGAGGGAACAAACACCTCATGGCTGTTCAACATACCAGCCCGTCAGTCACAGCTACTGTTGGACACACAGCTGCGGCCCAAACCCAGGGAGCCCAAGCAGGTCTGTCCAGACAGGGTTGGCTCCACACTGCTCTCACCTACAGCCTGCAGATGCTGGTAGGTCTCCAGCATCACGTCCTTGTAGAGCTTCTGCTGAGAGGCCGCCAGGCATGACCATTCCTCCGGGGTGAAGTTCACAGCCACGTCGTGGAAGGTCACTGCGTCCTGAGTCAGCACACAGGGAGGGTGGCAGTTAGAGTCTACCTTAGTCTCATTCCCACTACTGTGAGGCCAGGACCCAGAGTCCTATATTGTCGCTAGTCCTCTCCCCTTCGAATGAACCAGCCTCCATGCAGACGCATGGCTGACGGGCCCCAGAAATCACATAAGGCAGCTGGATCTGTGAAAGTGGGAGGATGTTATACAGAAAGTTCTCGGATATATCTGCCTTTCCTGGTAACCCAAGGTCCAATTCGAGCACCACTGGTCCAGTGAGCACTGTAGAGAGGATCACCTGACCGCAGACTTGTACGATCCAAAAAAGCATCCCTGGGTGCAGCAAAAACGACTGCACGCTCACCGCTGCACCCCCACAGCACATGACTACTAGGACTAAGAACTACAGTCCATATAGACAACTACTCAGAGTGGTGCATGGCATGTGTGCCTGTAAGAACACACTGCTCAAGACCGCCCCAAATCCCTCGCAAAGAAGGAGAAGTTTCTTCACCCCAACATCTCTACTGGCCTCAGAGATCCTTGGCTCTTTCTCCTTGCGATCAGCGCATGCCCAGAAATCCACACATAACTTTATGTGAATATAAGACTGTATGGCTGAGAAGGCAAGGCTCTCCAGAGCAGGAAGGACAAAACAGGGGAAAAATAAGTCCTGGGGTCCACG